GAAGATGTCCAGTTACAGATGAAACTAGTTGAAGCAGTGTTCCCCAGCCAATATATCACATCCCATCCCTGGAGTGCAAAGCCAGCTTCTGATTTTGGGGCAGCCATCTTAACAACAAGCACTGTATGTACCCGGTGAAGGTCCCTAGGCACACATACATGTGAGTGCAGTGTAATTGTTAGGTTTATATGATTTCATTAAGTCAGCTGCTTTGCACAATCAACCTTTTCCCTGATATTGTTTGAGTGGTGGTGTATTGCATGGAAAGAAAAAAATTGCATTCCTGGTGCATGTGAATGGTCAAGAGGGTGCCAAAACACACGGTGGGTCCAACCAAAAAAAGGGCAGCGAGACCTGTCTAGTAATTGCAGGTCCATCCATTGTGGTGAGTGTAAATCCATGTGGGGTCACCTGGAAGTGGTCACCTGTTTTTTCTATATCCAATGTCACCAGCACTTGTTCACTTATCTTTTGGCTTTTTCAAGCAACTATTATATGAATGGGACTTACGGATACATTGGACATTATTTGCATTTTCTTGTATTGTCCATTTAAATTTTTTGTTTCCATTTTTTGCATTTTCACGTGTCAAATTGTTAAGTAATTTTGGTTTACATTTTTGGCAGTGCAGTCTATATACACATTTACAGGGCGCACCTGTTCAATTGCTTAGTAACACAAATTGCTAAACAGCCAATCAAATGGCAGCAACGCAATGCATTTAGGCATCTAGACATAGTGAAGACGACTAGCTGAAGTTCAAACCGAGCATCAAAATGGGGAAGAAAAAAGTGACTTTCAATGTGGCATGGTTGTTTGTGACAGATGTGCTGGTCTGAGTATTTCAAAAACTGCTGATCTACTGGGATTTTCATGCACAACCATCTCTATGATTTACAGAGAATGGTCCAAAAAAGAGAAAATATCCAGTGGCAGTTGTGTGTACAAAAATGCCTTGTCGATGCCAGAGTTCAAAAGAGTCACTACACACCTATCTGGCCCCAATCGAAATGGTAGAAAGGCAACAGTAACTCATGTCAATATGGATGAAAATCTCTGTGGAATGTTTTCAACAGCTTGTTGAATCTATGCCATGAAGAATTAAGGCAGTTCTGAAGGCAAAAGGGGGTCCAAGCTGGTACTAGCATGGTGTACCTAATAAAGTGGCCGATCAGAGTGTATGTAAAGCTTGAAGGGACTGTCAGAAACTGCAGACCTAATAGAAGGAATGAGGATCAGAGAGTGTGAGTGCTGCATTTTAGAGATATGCTGCAGAAGACAATATGAAACTGGTGATGTTACATGAGGCTTGTAGATTATCGATGCTCTTATCATAGTTAATGTTCCCACTACAGACTGCTAAGGTCCAAGGGCCACACATCATATACCAAAGGACTGCAGGTTGGGCATCAAGAGTTTATATACTTAAAAAGCTATTTTCCTGACTGTCATGGTGTCCCCAACTTTGAGTCAAGGACCTTTACCAAGCATGCAGCAAAGAACTTTGGACTTTTCTCTCACACAAATTGGATCTGCATACATGGAGGACTGAAGCCAGTTCCTTTCTATATTATCCAGGCAACTGGCATTTCCAGCCATGGAGGCTTTTGGATTTCTCTCATCACAGGTTTCTTTTAAATAGCAGTTTTCATCTATTAGATTTCCAGAAACTGTTGCAGGTTTTGGAGATGAGTTGTTGGTAGATACTGTCACTGGAAAGCTCCTGGACTTCATACAATTTATCCCAATCCATCCCTTTTCTTGAATGCCACATTCTGTTCTTTTCATATCGTGGATATGGTTGGCCATTCAAATATTAGTGGAAGTATTTTACAATCCACTTTAATAAACTCAATATGACAAGTCTATAGTGTACAAGTCTTCCAGTCCAATAACACTGGCAAATGGCACAGGTAAGTGTCCCTGAGAAAAAATTGCAATGGTGGCTTTTCATGTATGGAGAGTGCAGCTCATCAAAACATAATGAAAGTAATGGATGACCAGCAGTGCAAAATCTAATTGGCTGATGAGCTGATTAGCTCTAGTCTGGCGTAGGTAAGCAGTGAATGGAAGGTACCTATATTTGTGAATGGCAGCTGGAAATAGGCAGAGCAGGAAATGTTGGATATGAAGCGGAAATGCTGCAGAGATGAAAAAGACGCAGAGGAGTAGGAGGTCACCCCAGGGTGGTGGGAAAGAAGGGGAGGATAGAGCAGACCAAAGGTCAGATAGATACAGGGAGAATGAATCACAAGTTTACACATCATAAATGAATCAGAGCCCTTATACCTCTTAATATGACATCATCACTAACCCATCACACAAAACTAACTGTGTACTGAACGTCGGCATGCATTAATAATGCTCCACTTTTCATTCAACTGACAGCTTGCCAATAACTTCAAAAGGAAATTTATTAACTTCAAAACAATGCAGGGATTATTCAATATAACACTCTAACTATCTGTAATAACGGATTATGTTCCCAAGGTGATGGAAGTTGTTAATAGATACTCACATTTCTTTTAGATATGTTTTTCCATTTAACCTCTTTATGACCAAGCCTTCTCTGACACATTTTGTTAATTATCTATCAAACAATACTGATTTTTACATGTAATTACTTAGAACCCCCAAACATATATTTTTTTAAGTAGAGAAATACACAAAAAATATAAATGTTTTTGAATTTTAATGCACAAAAAACACAATATAATACCCAATTGTTTGGTAAAATTTAAAAGATGATGTTACGCAGAGTAAATAGATACCAAACATATCGCGCTTTAAAATTGTATGCGCCCATGCAATATTGACAAACATAAATTTTATTATAGGTGAGACTTTATAGGTTACCACTTTAGATTTACATAGAAGGTCTCTGCTAGCGTTCCTGCCCTTGATCTGAGGTTTGCGGTGGTTCTTCACATGTGTGGGCTAATCACTGTTTGCACACGTGCAGAACCAATGCGTGCCTTCACACCTTTGCACATGGACTTGGGGGGGATAGGGAGTTTCGCTTTAAAAACTTTTTTTTTTAATTTTTACATTGTCACTTTACATTTTGTTTATCACTTTTATTGTTATAACAGGGAATATACATATCCCCTGTGATAGCAATAGGCAATGATGGGTACTCTTTAAGGAGAGATCTTATAGACCCCAGATCTCTCCTCTGGCCTTAAAAGCATCAAGATCTGTGTGATCAGATGCATTCCCAATTTAAAAACAGTGCTGTTTACATCCGGGGAAACCAGAAGTGATGAATGCTCATTGCTTCCGGTTTCTGGAGCCGTTCTGGTCAGCCGTATGGTCAGCTGGAAGCACCGGCTGGTCACTCAGATCTCCTGGTGGAATACCAGGATGATACCTGCACCAGTAAAACCACTTGTAGTTCAGTGACATACGGGTGCGTTGCTGGTTGTCAAGTGGTTATTCATTATGAACCCAAATAAAGGGTAGTTCCCCTTTAGGGCTTTGCACACAGACACAGGCCACAAGCTGCCCTTGAACATGAATAGCTGTGCATGGTTGTATAGACACTTTGATAGCATACAAGCAGTTTCCGAAAAGTACCAACACATATCCTATACAGCCATACAGACACTCATGTCTAATGGAGGGTACCAACACATATCCTATACAGCCACACATAGACATTCATGTCTAAGGGAGGGTACCAACACATATCCTATACAGCCACACACAGACATTCATGTCTAAGGGAGGGTACTAACACATATCCTATAGCCACACATAGACATTCATGTCTAATGGAGGGTACCAACACATATCCTATACAGCCACACAGACATTCATGTCTAATGGAGGGTACCAACACATATCCTATACAGCCACACAGACATTCATGTCTAATGGAGGGTACCAACACATATCCTATACAGCCACACAGACATTCATGTCTAATGGAGGGTACCAACACATATCCTATACAGCCACACATAGACATTCATGTCTAATGGAGGGTACCAACACATATCCTATACAGCCACACATAGACATTCATGTTTAAAGGGAGGGTACCAACACATATCCTATATAGCCACACATAGACATTCATGTCTAACCAGCATCTTACCTTCCTAGGCAGGGAAATAACCCAGAATTTATGGTGCATGGCCTCAGGACACCTGTGTGAGAACCCCATCGGGGGTGCCTGTGATTAGCTGCAAGAGGCAGCCCCATTGAAAGCAATAGAAATCTGCCGGCTCCCGCAGTTAATCGCAGCCACTGAAATGTGATCACTGCATGAGAAGTTACATGCATGTGGGTATGATTAGCGGCGTGATTTTTTTTTTTTTTTTTTCAATTACCACAGATCCTCTTTAATATTGCAGTTCTGGGGTGTTCTGAGGACACAAATTCTCCTTTCATTGTGAGTTCCAGCAGTCAGATATCAATGCTGAAGTTCTTAGTTCTCTTCCCCTGGTCATGAAGTCTCACTATCTGCTGCATTTCTCCACGTAGAAATGTAAATGGTTCAATGTTCTTTGTAAAGTTCTCCAACAAATGTAAGATGATCATGGGTGGTTTAACTGGCATTCACACAAATAGAAATTTGTAAATAAAAAAAAAGATAATTTGTAAGTGGACCTTTCAGTAACTTTACAAGGAATAAATTCCTGATATGTCACAATATACAGCAACAGTATCATTTTCAAAAAAAGAAACAAACAGAAAAAAACAGCTTTGTTTCATTGACCACTTGCCTACCGGCACTTTCACCCCTTCCTTCCCAGGCCAATTTTCAGCTTGCGCGGTCATGCAATGTACCCATATTACATTTTTATCATTTTTTCCAAACAAATAAGGCTTTCTTTTGGTAGTATTTAATCACTGCTGGGTGTTTTATTTTTTGCACTATAAAAAAAAAAAAAAAAAAAAAGCAAAACATTAAGAAAAAAAAGTTTTTCTTTGTTTCAATTTTAAAATTTTGCAAATAGGTAATTTTTCTCCTTCACTGATGTGCGTTGATGAGGGTGCACTAATAGGCAGCACTCATGGGCACTGATAGGCAGTACTGATGGACACTGATGAGGTGGCACAGATAGGCAACATTGATAGGCTGCACGGATGAGGTGGCACTGATATGCAGCAATGATGAGCACTGATAGGCAGCACTGATAGGCTGCACGGATGAGGTGGCACTGATATGCAGCAATGATGGGCACTGATAGGCAGCACTGATAGGCTGCACGGATGAGGTGGCACTGATATGCAGCAATGATGAGCACTGATAGGCAGTACTGATGTGTACTGGTGGGTAGCACTGCTGGGCGGCACTGCTGATGATCAGTGTTGATGTGTTCTATATCAATGGACGGTTTTTGGCAGTACTTTCCTCACGCTGTGACAATGTGAGGAAAGTGCTGCCGATAATTGGCAACTGTATTTACTTGGTGATCTGCTGTGTCATTGGACACAGATGATCATGTGGTTAAAAGGCCGCTGTGATTGGCCTTTTACCTCATCACGTAATCAGCTGTGTCCGTAGGAGATCACGGAGATCGCCGGGTGCGTGCGTGCTGCTGGAGACGTGCGGGAGGGTGCGTTCTGGGAGGATGTTATATGACGCCCTCCCACAACTGGACAACCGCACTGTAGCCATCATTCGGCTATGGCGTGGTTGGCAAGAGGTTAAAATACAGTCCTTGGAGTCTCGAGTGACTTCACCTAGACTGAGATGATGCCATCTGTCAGCTCCAGACAGGAAGAATCATCATCTCATATATCCCAGTGATCAGACAGCAACATTGTACCTTCCTAGCAAGTCACAACGTGAGAGGCTACAGTAGGAGCAGATCATTAGTGAACAAAACCAAGAACTGCCACATTTACATTTCGTCTATGGTGAGCAAGCATCTTAGTCCAGAAAATGGATGCTGACCCAGCATGATACCTGAATAATGATGGCACCACCCTTCTAGACAGAAAAGCAAATGAAGGCATTATCAAAGAGAGGTGAGAGATCTATGAGAGGTAATGCTTACCTGAAAGTGTTTACACTCACAAAATGCTTAGTATTCGTGCACTTAAAGTGCTAGTAAACTGCTGGATGAAAAGAATGGAAAAAAAAAAAAAGCCGGTCCCCAGGCGGTTTAGAACTTCATACTAGCACATTATAACATACTTAAAGCGGATCTTCACTCTGAGAAAAAAAAAAGTCAGCATCTACAAATACTGTAGCTGCTGACTTTTAAAAGGACACTTACCTGTCCAGCACTGTCCTCAACCGGGCTAGCTCTTCACTAGCCTTCGGGCTCCCAGCACCGGCATCCTAACTGTGGGCAGCCAACTATGCTGCCTTCAGCTTCACATCCAGTGGAAGCGTGATACCTGTCAAAACCAGGTACCTGACAACCCCCCCCCCAAAAAAAAAATTATATGCCAAATTTGGTGATGGTGGTGGTGATGGTGGGGGACAGAAGACACTTAAAGCGGAACTTCCCCTTTTGAGTGATGTTCCGCTTTAAAACAAAGCCTTCCAGCAGCCCGCTGTCATCACTGTCGGCATCTCTGCTGATTCACACATGTCCAGTGCAGATTGAAGCTGAGCTGAGTGATACAGTAGTTGTTCAGGTCTGGTTTAAATCAGGTTCAGATCAGGATTTTACCCTGTTCACAACCGATGACATGTGCGGTTTAGAAACAGTTCCCATAGAAGTCAATAGTCTGTAATCTGTGCCTGATCCTGACTGCACTGCTCAGAAATTGGACAGGACTCTTTTTCAGTCTGCACCACCAGTGCACCGGACATATGTGAACAGGTATCATACGAAGCAATGTTATTTCACATGTCATGCAGACTGAATGCGGTTCAATCCGCATATATGTGAACCGGCACTCCATCTTTACCTGGTTTTCCTTCTGGGCTTGCAGGCTCCAGCTGTTTGAATGGCTGGGCCACGGTGATGCCACTCCTATGCATACATGTGGGAGTGACAGTCGCAGCACAGTGCTTTAGATTTGAAGAAACACTCATAAGTACCACTAGATGCACTGTCCAGCCCCAGCAGCTGTTAGCTTCTTAAACTTACCATACATTAGACAATTTTCAATTTCCTTTAGATTTACCTTCAGCTATGTAGAGCAAGGGCCTGCCTGATTGCATACAAATTGAAAGGGTTTAGGTTTGACCTCATTTTATGGTTTTGATAAATGTAAAGGAAAAATTGTACAATAAAATTGTATAATGTATAGTCAGCCTTAGAGTATGACAGGCCACTGGCAGTGGGGCTGGATCAGGGGCGGACTGACAACTCATGGGGCCCCCAGGCAATGGGGGATCATGGGGCCCCTGTGTCCTTGCCCAAACTCAAAAAAGCCTATGAAAAAGGTACCAGGGGCATCTCATGGGGCTCCCTACTGACCCCGGGCCCTCGGGCAGTGCCCGAGTTTCCAAATGGTTAGTCTGCCCCTGGTCTGGATGGCTCACCTGGCCCTTCACTTGCACTAACTGCCCAGGGTGCTTGGGGCATAAGGGACAGGCCAAACGGTCTACAATCATTCATATGCAATATACTCTCCAGTCTCAAGGAACAATTCCAAACACTTGTTCTGGGGCAGTGACTGATAAAGTACTGAGATTACTGATTCACTATGAAAGCCAAGCAACTAGCATTGCAGGAAAGATCTATGTCAATTGAGACGCAGGGGCTGCAAGGGCACAGCCGCTGTTCCTAAAGTGACATCCGTGTGAGTGCATGGCCCCGAACACACCTTGTCTGCGAAGCCCCTGTGTCCCAATTAATAGCAGTGCAACTGCCCACACAGAGATGCATGGATCACCTGGGCATCCCTGTGCAGGTAAACGCAGGATATCTCCATACACAGCAATGACAGATATGTTTTATATAGGTACTGCCACTGCCTACAAGTAACGTACCACACCTTTTTTATCACTGCTATAAAAATATCCCAGCAAGCCTCCGATTTTCCTGCTGCATATCTGAGGATGGGCCATGTAATTCACATTTCTAACATTGGAAGAAAACTACGGCTGCCTATCCTACTATCTACATATAGTTAATAAATAGTTATGTTATCTCTGCTGGAGACATACACCCTTCTATTACTGCATGGGATACTATGACTTCTTTGTGTATGAGGATAGTATCTGAAACGTGAGCCAAAAATCACCATTAGCCATGAATTGTTCTAGAAGCCATTGTACAATCTACTGTATAATCATAGGATGTATCAGCACAGTGTCCTTTTGTATGTAAATACAAGAGACTAGAATAGAATGGAATAGTATGCATGGGGGTGCCAAAAATGACAGGTAGAGGGTTTAGACAAACCATTTAACACTGACAGGAGTGCTTACAGTAATCAGCTTTTGTATTTATGTAAATCCTTTACCCCAAAAGGAAAACAAAAAAAAACGTTGTTCTAACTCAGTGGTCTCCAAACTGTGGCCCTTTGCTTGCCTTTGTTCGGCCCTGGAGGCACTGTTTGTCCTACTGACACTAGCAACTCCCACCGACAACCCCGTCGGGCGCCATGCCTCCCACGACAACCCCGTCGGGGCGCCATGCCTCCCACCGACAACCCCGTCGGGGCGCCATGCCTCCCACCGACAACCCCGTCGGGGCGCCATGCCTCCCACCGACAACCCCGTCGGGGCGCCATGCCTCCCACCGACAACCCCGTCGGGGCGCCATGCCTCCCACCGACAACCCCGTCGGGGCGCCATGCCTCCCACCGACACCCCCGTCGGGGCGCCATGCCTCCCACCGACACCCCCGTCGGGGCGCCATGCCTCCCACCGACACCCCCGTCGGGGCGCCATGCCTCCCACCGACACCCCCGTGGGGGCGCCATGCCTCCCACCGACACCCACGATGGGGCATTATTCCTCCCACTGACACCACTGATGGGGCACTCTTCCTTCAACTGATACTAATGATGGAGCACTATTCCTCCCACTGACACCAGCAATGTGGCAATATTCCTCCTCCAACTGACCATAGGCACAGAAGGACAGTAAACTTATGGAGAAACCCGCTCTAACTGCTTAAAAAAATTAGCTGGAGTTCAGCTAATTTGTTAGTCAAGTCTATCTAAATCTATTAGTGCATCTACCACTACCCTTTCCCCACACTGGCCTAAAAAAGAAAAACTAATGCAGTCACCACATATAAAGATTGCTAATCTGCAATACATTATGTTTTGTTTTTTGGGTTTAATATTTTAATGTGGTTGTAAAGGCTCAAGGTTTATTACCTTCATTCTATGCATGAAGGTAAAAAACTTTACCTGAGCCCCATTGCGATCCATAGATGTTCACAACAGCCTCGGCTGTCCCGGGTCTCTGCCTCCTCATTGGCTGAGACAGCAAGCGGGACCCACTGGCACTTACTTCTGTCAATCACAGCCAGTCAGCCAATGAGGAGAGAGAGAGAGGGGGTGGGGCCAACCTGCGGCTCCATTTGTGAATGGACACACGGAGCAGCGGCTTGGGCACAAGCCTGCTCGGGTGCCCCCATAGCAAGCTGCTTTCTATGGGGGCACCTGGCAAAGAAGGAGCTAGGAGTGCAGGCAGGGGACCCAAGAAGAGGAGGATCCAGGCTACACTGTGCAAAACCACTGCATTCAGCAGGTAAGTATAACATGTTTGCTACTTTCCATGGAAAAAAAAAAAAAGCAAATCTTCTTTAGATATACTAGCATCTAGGTAGAGATAGGACCTATTTTCAGTCTGCTCCAGTATCTGGTATGGTCATGTGATCCCGTGTCATTCAGCGGAGGCTGCAAGGGAGAGGAGAAAGCACAGAGACAACTATTAAAGCCTGGAGTGGAAATGTCACCCATAGGCTTTAATGGCCTATCCGCTGTCATTGTTCCTCCTCTCCCCTGCAGCTGCGCTGGCTGATACAGGGGAGCTAGATCACGTGAATGGACAGAAGGAGCCTGGAAATAGGTCAGTAAATACACCTTTCTTACACAGGTTAGTTAGCATAGGTGTTAGGAAGGCGGGGAAGGGGAGGGGAGGAACAATGTTAAGGCTAGTTAAGTATATAGCTGGAATTCCACTTCAAACCTGCAACTATGCAAGGATTTGCCTTAAAGTAATCATACCTTCGTGGGAAAACGGTACATATATTTTATTACTAAAAGCACCAAAGTATTCTCTACTACTACCACAAAGTCATTCTAACTGTCCAGACACCAATGTGACGTGAAGAGGTATCAGTCTGTAATCCTTATACAGTAGATGTTAATAGAAACTCATAGCAAAGGACTATGGAAGCGACCATTGTTGAAGTCTTGCTGCACCTCACCACAACTCCATGAAATATGGTGGCATTACTGCCTGCCTAGAGACCTGCTGGAAAAAAAAAAAATTGCCACGCTGTGACCACAGCCATTTCAACTAGCAATGGTAACTTGCTGGGGGACAGTAAAAATGTAAATTAACTGCCTATTTCCACCACCCCTCTGTCGCTGGTGTCAAGGAGGCCTAACGATGATCCAACTGCTTCAGTAAGGCAGACCAGGAGTTTTGACTTCAACTGAAGGCTTGTTCCAGGTCTACATCTCAGAAGTACTGAAGCTCATCAACTAGCATTTTCAGCAGGAGGTTAGCAATGCCGTCCTTTGCATTTCTCTCAGTACGGTTTCTTTTAGTACCTATATGAAATAAAAGGGGACAGAAGACCTACACCAATCAGCCATAACTTTTTTGACCACCCACCTAACATTGAGTAGGTTCCCCTTTTGTTGCCAAAACAGCCCTGACCCAAGGAGGCATGGATGTCACTAGACCTCTGAAGGCATGCTGTGGTATTTGGCACCAAGCCGCCAGATCCTTTAAGTCCTAAAAGTTGCGAGGTCAGGCCTCTATGGATTGGACCTGTTTTTCCAGCACATCTCGCAGATGCTCAAGTAGACTGAGATCTGGAGAACTTGGAAGCCAAGTCTACACCTCAAGCTCGTTGTTGTGTTCCTCAAACCATTCCTGAACCATTTTTGCAGTGTGGCTTGGCACATTATCCTGCTGAAAGAGATCACTGCCATCAGGGAAATTCTATTTCCATGAAGGGGTGTAACTGGTCACCAACAATGTTTAGGCAGGTGGTACGCATCAAGTAACATTCACATGAATAGCAGGACCAAGGTTTCCCAGCATTGCCCAAAGCATTACACGGCCTCCACCAGCTTGCTTTCCCCCCCCCCACACTGCATCCTGGTGCCACCTCTTCTCCAGGTCAGTAACACACACATACCCGGCCATCCACATGATGTAATAGAAATCGTGATTCATTCTCTTCTTCATAGTCGGGTTCTGATGCTCACATGCCCATTGTAGGCACTTTTGGCTGTGGACACGGGTCAGCATTGACACCCTGAGCAGTATGCGACTACGCAGCCCCAAACATAACATGTGATGTCCATTTTTTTCTGCGCTCAACATATCAACTACAGGGACAACATGTTTACTTGCTGCCTAATATATCCCAATGACGTACCGATGCCATTGTACCAAGATAATCAATGTTATTCACTTAAAGGATAAGTTCACCTCTTGTAACATGTTACACCCATATTCAGGGTGTAATGTAACATGCTATGATCAGACCGGTCCCCGTTACCCCCCCCCTCAAATCCCTGCTTTGACAGCTAACGGGATCTTCACCACCCCCTCACTATCAAATTACAAAAAAAAAAAAAAAAAGTGGCCGTGCGGGGCTCCGCCCACATGTCCATGTCACTCATTCACAGACCTCTGTGAATGAGAGACTACAAGTCCCAACAGTCTTAGCGGCTGTCAGCTTGTAGTCCTCAATGAACTACCATGGTGCTGTGAAGTGCAGTGGTAGTTCATTCATTCTTCCTGTCAGTATATCCAATTGCTCATACATCCCGTACGGACAAGCAGATATACCGAGAGATCTGCAGGAGACCTGCATAGCACCAGCGATCTGCTGATGGTTCACAGGCTCCTGCAGACAAAAATAATAAATGCTAATTTTTTACCTGCAAAAAAAAATGTACATTTATTATTTTTTTTTCTAAAAGGTGAACTTATCCTTTAAAGAACTTCACTTAAAAAACAAGGCTCCGCTTATCCTCCTGCTCTGCTCCTCCTCTCTCACTACTGAAGGTTTTTTTTTTCTGGAAGCGGGAACCTATTTCTGGCAGGTACCCACTCGGCTAGGCAGGCAGAGTAGAAGTTTGCCCCCTCCCGTCCGCAACCATCTGGGACATATTACAGGTTGCAGGAAGCCACAAGACCATTGCAGTGGACGCATGTGCAGTGGAGAGCCGGCTGTGAGCGAGCAGGTAGTCATCGCCAGCTTTTCGCACTCAAGATGGTAGAACTGTGGATCAGAAGGCCGGAAAAGAACAGGCCTGGGTGATAACAGTGCTGGATCCCTTGGCTGGTGAGTACTTGTGTATGAAAAGTCAGCATCTACAGTA